CCCCTGAATTTTACTCTTTTATTTTATTATATTAGTGTGTGTGTGACATGCCTATGTAGCCCAAACTACATATTCATTATTATTTTTCTTTATTTTTCTTTATTTTTAAAAAGATTTATTTTATATGTGAATGTTTTTCTGCATATTCATGCATGCGCACCACGTGCATTCCCAAGGAGATGAGTAGAGAGTGTCAGATCTCAGATTACCTGAAACTGGAGTTATGGATGGTTGAGAAACACCATGTGAGTGTTGGGAATGGAACCCGAACCGCCTGAAAGAGCAAAAATTCCTCTACACCACTGATCATCTCTCTAGTGTCTAGTGTTTCTTTTTCTTTGTTATGTTTTTGTTTTTATGAGACTGAGTCTCGGTATAATAGATCAGGGTAGCCTGGAACATGGCAGCAATCTTCTTGCTTTAGACTCCAGTGTGTCTGGATAAGCACATGCTATCCCTTTTCTAAACTCCTTTCCAGGATGAGTTAAGAAAGATACGACTTTGATTGTTGATTGAGGAATAGAAATGAAGGCCTCCTCAAGCTGGGCATTAGAAGTATCATGAATCCTAAATCAGCAGCCCCAGGACTCCCTCTCTCGTGTTTACCTTGTTTTTGCTGTCACCTCTAGACATTTACTTGTTCACCTGGGAGTGAAGCAGGAAAACACTGTGAGCTTCTAGCTGTGCATGGATGCAGCCACACTGAGGCTGGCCTACCAGTTCTCTGTCCCCAGGCTAGCTTTCTAAGTCCTACCATGAATCCTGTCTGGAAGGGGTGGGAAGATAAATGAGGCTGGTGAAGAGCCTATAGATTTTCAGAAATGGATGACTCACCGTGGGCTGGGAAGACAGCCCAAAGTAACCTTCAGTCACAGCAGACTACACATTTTTTGCTTTGCCCTCTTTGTACTTTACATCAAATGTTTTACGGGATCAAACCCGACCCTGGAAGGCCAGTTGCTCCCTTCTGTACTCCCAGGGCTTCCTATCAGCACGTGTACCACAACCCTATGTGGTAAGAGGATGTTCGCTCTGGTAACACAATACCTCCAGTTTCTGTGCTGAAAGGGAGACTCTGGACCAATCCTTCAAATCTACTAGCGTAGTTAACTAAGTTGATGAAGCTCTCAGGGAATTTCTCTAGGGCTTCTCCCCACCGTGATTTCCTCATCCCCAAATTCTAACTTCGATGATACACTCCATCATTGCCAGTCAGTGGGGACCAGGAATTCGGTGGCACAATACCTTTCTGCAGATCTTTAATGAGATGCTTAGGGAGTCTGTACCCAGTGGGATTAGATGCTGTGGGAAATACCTGCCTAATTCTCCCAAACCTCCTTCTGGCACAGAAAGCTAAGACAGTGATCATCCACTCTGTGTATTCCTGAGAACTTCCCATCCTTCCCTGGAATAAAGGACACTGTTGCCCATAAACTCCGAAGTGGAAAACAGTAGAGCTGGCCTGTCTAGATATTTTCAGAATAGGAGAAATGACAGCATTTCTTCTGAAGCATGAGCTGCTCACTCTCTTCCACAGAGAGAACAGCAGGAGGAGTCACATGTGCAGCTATTGGAGCTTGTGATCAGTACAATAACTGCCTGTGTTTCTCCTTGAGCAGTTAAGGGGTGGGAGAGACTGGGGTGTTACCAGAGGTACATATGGTTGCAGGGAAGGATGGTGTGTGTGCGTGAATGCTTTTTATGTTATATTCCATAAAACTGAAAGGGTGGACCTTGGAAGCCAGCACCACGTAAAAATGGGATTTTTAAATTGAGTGTGTAGAAAATAGGAGTGGATCTTAATTCAGAAACTATAATGCAGTCTTAATATAAACCTGGTTGTAGCATCCAAACCTGCAGACTGCATTCTCACCCGTGTCTGTTCTCTGTAGTTAGCTGGCAGCAACCAGGCGAGTGTCTCTGAGTTCCTCCTCCTGGGACTCTCCAGGCAGCCCCAACTGCAGCTCCTCTTCCTGCTCTTCCTCACCATGTACCTGGCCACTGTCCTGGGAAACCTGCTCATCATCCTGGCCATCGGCACAGACTCCCACCTGCACACCCCCATGTACTTCTTCCTCAGCAACCTGTCCTTCGTGGATGTCTGCTTCTCCTCCACCACTGTCCCCAAGGTGCTGGCCATGCACATACTCAGGAATCTGGCCATTTCCTTCTCTGGGTGTCTCATGCAAATTTATTTCCTCTGTGTGTTTGCTGTTATGGATAATTTCCTGTTGGCTGTGATGGCCTATGACCGGTATGTAGCCATATGCCACCCCTTGCACTACACAACAAAGATGACTCATCAGCTCTGTGCCCTCCTTGTGTTCGGGTCATGGGTGGTAGCTAGCCTGAATGCTCTGTTGCACACCCTGCTCATGGCTCAGCTCTCATTCTGTGCAGACAACACCATCCCACACTTTTTCTGTGAGGTGACTCTCCTTTTGAACCTCTCCTGCTCAGACACACACCTCAATGAGCTAATGATTCTTTTTGTCGCCGGGCTGTTAATGATAGCCCCATTTGTTTGTACCCTCGTCTCTTACATCCTTATTGCTTGTGCTATCCTGAGAGTCTCATCCCCAAGGGGAAGATGGAAAGCCTTCTCCACCTGCAGCTCCCACCTGGCTGTGGTCTGCCTCTTCTATGGCACCATCATATCCCTGTACTTCAACCCCTCCTCCTCTCGCTCAGCTGGGAGGGACATGGCAGCTGCCATGATGTACACGGTGGTGACCCCCATGCTGAACCCGTTCATCTACAGCCTGAGGAACAAGGACATGAAAGGGGCTATAGGGAAAGTGCTTACCATGAAATTTTCATCTTCTCAGTAAGGCTAAGAAAATCATATTGAGAAGAATTTCCAAGAAAACAATTTTTATTCTACTATGTGAAACTTAACATTTTTTATTAGAAAAGCATCTACTATCTCTTGGGAGAATAAAATCCTTGCTGTAGACTAAACAGGTGAAAGGTGGAAAGTGGCTTGGGACGGAGCTCAGCTGTAGAGTGCTTACCTAGCATGTGCAAGGCCTAGGGTTGATTCCTAGTCCTGACAAAATAAATATTATTTTAAAGATTTAAAACGTGGGTGTGCCATGTGTGTGTGGTTGTCCAAGGAGCTAGAAGAGGGTTACAGGTGTCTGTGAATCACTTGCCGTGGGCCCTGTAAACCAAATCTGGGTCCTCTGGAAGAACAGCAAGTGACTGCTGAGCCATCCCTCCTGCCCAGTCAAAATGCTTCAATTAAACCCCTTCATTCCAATCATGAGTGCCCTCCTGACAAGAGGCACCACAAACACACCTACCCTTTACTCCCAATTGCCAGAGGAGAGAATGCACATGCCTGGAGAACAGGTGGAGCTGCACATGCTTGGAGAGCAGGTGGGAGCTGCACCTGCTTGGAGAATAGATAGAAGCTGCTAAAAAGAAATAACAAGCTGAGCTTCTTTGGGTGATGTCAGGAAAGAACTGGGGACTGTTGCTTCAGATGAGTTACTGTTATTTAGGATGCTTGTGATTGACTGGCTGTCTTGGTGTATGCCATCTAGAAGAAAGGAATAGATAAAGTGTGAGCTCCGGCCAAGAAGCAGTACCATGCATGCCAGTCACCTTGGAGCACTGGCTGTGGGCCATTTTGTAGTCAGGGAAAATATATATAGTTTTTGTTTTTTGAAGCAGGGTAGCCCTGGCTGTCCTTGAACTCACTTTGTAGACCAGACTGGTCTCGAACTCATATAGATCCACCTGTCTCTGTTGGGATTAAAGGCGTGTGTCAACAAGTCTGATACAGGACAATATTCTTCATGTTCTCAGCAGTCATCCCAGAATAATCTTTTGTGATGTCACAATCACAGAGACCTAACTTGCTACAGCTGTTCTATGAAATTCTGTTCATTGGGAAAACTCCAAACTGTGCCCGCCTAGCTCCTAGGTGATAACGCTAAGCTTCAGTCTTTAAGGTGAGCACATCTGGAGAGGAGACCTGGCCCAGCAAGGTGATCCCAGCTATTCATCCATTCCTTCCTGTGTAAGGCTGATACCTGGACTATCTTTAAAAGAATTGCTCTCTTTCACTCTGGTTTCCAATTTGTGAGGTTTGTTCATAGGATTCCTTTAGTGCTTTTAAAATCTGAGATTTTTATATATGAATGTGTGTGTTTTGCCTGTATGTACATCAGTGTATTATCTCTGTGCAGTTCCTGAGGAGAACAGATGGGGACATTGTGTCCTCTGGAATTGGAGTTACAGGCATTAACTACTATGTGGGTACTGGGAGCCAAACTGGGTCCTCTGAAATAACAGCCATTCTTCCAGCCACTGGGCCACCTCTCCAGCTCTGTTATTATTCTTTTAATGTCAACCGTGATTTCTGGTACAAGTGTTTCAGGTTCATGTGTTACAGGTCTGGTTGCTATCGGGAAGTGGTGGGACCTTTGGGGGGGTAAGGCTTAGTGCAAAGAAGTCAGGTCATAAGCAGATCACTAAGGAGACATAGGACTCCCCATTCCTCCTTTGTCCTCCTTTGCTTGTAAGGATCCCATGAGGAAAACAGACCCCCTCCACCCCAAAGATCCAAAGCAACAGGGTCAAGCAACTGTGGACCGATCGCCCAGACACTGAGTCTAAATAAACCTTCCCTCTTTCACTTGTATCAGGTCTTTCGTTACAGAAATGGAAAACTGAAAGCCATTCGTTTCAGACCTCCCTGCTCAGATGTGCACTTGAGGGCAGGCGTCCCTCTTGCCGCTCTTGCTTTATCTTGCAAATGTTAGTACACTAAATTTTATTTGCATTTTTGGAATGTCTTACTTGACATTTTTTCTTTTGACCCATTTATTTAGAATTGTTCTTCAATCATAAAATGTTTGGGTTCTTAATTCTTTGTGAAACTTTTCAGGCAGAGGCAGGCCCTTTCCTGATCCCAGCTCTGCTCCTGGGGCTGAGAAGCTGAGTGACAACTGACCAATCTCCCTTCTCCCACTTCCTTGTTGTTGTTGTTGTTATTGTTGCAATGTGTATGATCTCTCAGCCTCATGATTCTGCAGATGAAACTACAAATTCTTCATTTTGGGGGAAGGTTTTCCCCCATTTTGGACACTAAAGTATTTTCTCCCCTACATGAATTCCTTCATGGCGACTCTGATGAAAATTCTGATCAAAGTTTCTACCACACTGAGAACAGGAATAGGGTTTCTCCCCTGTATGGATTCATTTGTGCTTATTAAGGTTTGTTTCATGATTGAATTCTTTTCCACAGTGGCTACAGTCATAGGGCTTCTCACCAGTGTGAATCCTCTGATGGGAAATAAGAGAAGAACTTTTGGGAAACTGCTTCCCATGCAGGACACCTACTCAATGTCTTTGTTTTCTCATCTTGAGAAAGCAGAGTAATATTAATGTCCACATATTTTGAGACATCTTCCAGTGGAGAATTATTTTCAGTTGTAACTAGAAGGCTTCTCAGTTTCTTCTGCCGTGGAATGGGTGCGTTTGCTCTTTCTTCTTGGCAAGCTGGAGGTTGTTCAGAAACCCAAGAACAACTCACTGCATCCATATCTGAAGAGTTCCTCTACAATCTTGTTTCTGAAGATCTTCATCTCCGAGATTACTCTTGTTGCCTGTCAAAATAGAGAATGTTGAGTTCTGACAGCTCGGCTAGGGAAAGCCAGGTTTCTTATGAAACAACAACCTTGATGAGCCATAATGAGGGACGCCTGTAATCCCAATATTTTTGCGACACAGGCAAGAGGAATGCTGTTAAGTTCAAGTCAAGCCTGGTCTACATAGTGAGTTCCACCCAGCCAGGGCTAGACAGCAAGACCTTGCCTTGAAAAAAACAAAAGACAAGACAAGACAAAACAACAAAACCAACCAACCAACCAACCAACCAACCAACCAACCAACCAACCAAAAAATAATAAAAGTGGCTGGATATGGAGATACTAGCCTTTAATCCCAGCACTCAGAACCGAGAGGCAGGGAGACCTATGAATTTGAGGCCGGTCTGCTCTACATAGCCAGTTCCAGGACAGCCAGGGCTACATAATAATGAGACTCTGCAAATAAATAAACCAACAAAGCAATACAATAAACAAACATTATTTTATGGTCAGAAATGTAAGGACTAGCAGAAAATCACTCCCTTTCACTCCTACTAAGCATGGGGTGATTACGAAGAAATCCTCCTCCCACAGGACAAAAGCACAGCCTCCTCTGAAAAATGAGTGGGGCAGCATTGGAAGACGCCATGTTGTTTTTGTTCTTCATGCAGACTACAAGTCAGCGCTTATGGACTCTCTGCAGAGCAAAACCTAAGCACTAGGAGCTGATGGGACACCAGGAGTCCAGCAATAAGCTGGCCGTGGGGTGGGCCGCTGCCGGACTCGCACTACAGCATGGGGCAATACTACAGTATTCTATGCAAGGAAAAGCTAGAAACAATTCAAATGCCTGCCTAGCATGAACAAAGTCCATCTGGGCATAGCTTCCAGCACACATAAACAGGGCGTGGGGGCACATGCCTGTAATCCCAGCACTCAGGACATGGAAGTAGGGGACTCAGAAGTTCTAGGCCAGCCTGGGAGACATGAGATTTTTCTCCTTTAAAAAGAAAAGTATTTTAAAATCAGGAACTGGGTGCTGGAGAGATGGCTCAGAGGTTAAGAGCACTTTCAGAGGACCCAGGTTCAATTCCCAGTGCCCACATGGCAACTCACAGCTGTCTGTAGCTCCAGTTCCAAGGCTTCTGATACCCTCACATAGATATATATTCAGGCAAAGCACCAATGAACAGTAAATAAAAGTAAATTATATATATATAAAATAAAGGAACTGTAGTTCAGTGATAGAGTGTTTGTTGACCATGCACTGGCTCTGATCCCCAACACAGAAAAAATACACTTTAATACTGGTTGAAGGGATTAAAACTTAATACTAACTTACTGGATCTTCTTATTAGGAAGGGAGTTGAATTTTATCATTTCAGTAACTATGAAAATTACCATAAGATTTTTCTTTTTTAAAAAAATACATATTTTATTTTATGTGTGTGGTGGTCTGACTAAGAATGCCCCAATGGGCACATAGATTTGAATGTGCAGTTACCAGGGAGTGGCTCTATCGGAAAGGATTGTGAGGATTAGGAGTTACAGCTTTGCTGGAGCAGGTGTGGCCTTGACGTGTGTACTGGGGCTGGGCTTTGATTTCAAAAGCTTATTTCAGGCCCACACTCTTTCTCTCTGTCTACAGATCAGAATGTAGCTCTCAGCTACTGCTCCAGTACCTGCCTGCATGCTGCCATGCTCCCCACCATGATGATAATGGACTAAACCACTGAAACAGTAAACCAGCCCCATTGAATGCTTTCTTTTATGAGAGTGGCTTTGGTCCTGGTGTCTTTTCACAGGAACAGAGCAATGACTAAGTGAATATGTATAGGTATTTTGCTCATATGTATGTTTGTTCGTGTGCCATGTGGGTGCCTGGTGCCCATGGAAGTCAGAAGAGGGCATTGGATCCCTTAGAACTGTAGGTATAGTTGCAAGCCACCATGTGGGTGCTAGGAATCAAACCGAGGTCCTCTGCAAAAACAAGAGCTGTTACCTGCCGCGCCACTTCTCCAGCTCCCTTACTAGACTTTATATGGCGAGGAGATGTGTTTTTTTGGTCCAGTCTATTCGGTGTTCTGTATGCTTCTTGAACCTTCAAAGGAATATCTTTCTTTAGGTTGGGAAAGTTTTCTTCTATAATTTTATTAAATATATTTTCTGGACCGTTGAGCTGTACTTCTCCTTCTTCTACCCCTATTATTCTTAGGTTTGGTCTTTTTATTGTGTCCCAGATTTCCTGAATGTTTTGTGATGAGAATTTGTTGGTTTTGCTGTTTTCTTTGATCAGTGTGTTTATTTTCTCTATGGTATCTTCAGTGTCTGACATTCTTTCTTCTATCTCTTGTAATCTGTTGGTAGTACTTGTCTCTGTAGTTTCTGTTTGTTTACCCAGGTTTTCCATCTCCATCCTTCCCTCGGTTTGTGTTTTCTTCATTACTTCCATTTCATTCTTCAAGTCTTGAACCACTTCCCTTACCTGTTTGATTGCTTTTTCTTGTTTCTCTTGGTTTTCTTGGGTATCTTTGAGTGATTTATTCATTTCCTCTACCTTTTTGTTTGTAATCTTAAATTGTTTATGGCAGTTTTTCACCTCCTTTTTAAGGTCCTCTATTATTTTCATATAATTCACTTTTGAGTTGATTTCTTCTAATTCTTCTGGAGTAGGGTGTACAATTCTTATTTCGTGATCCCTGGATTTTGGTGATGTCATGTTGCCTTTCAGGTTGTTGGAGGAATTCTTGCATTGGCGCCTTCCCATCTCTTCCTTCAAATGGAGCCAGGTGTCTTGGTCCAGTCTTTGCTGTGACTGACTCTCTGGGTGTATCTCCTCAGTGTAGAAGCAGGAAACATTCCCGTCCAGATGGAACTCCTCAGCACCTAAACATGGACACCTGGTAGTCCAATGACCCTCAGACAAAAGGGCAAACTTGGGGGGCAGGGTGGGGTTGAGTAGAACACAGGAGACCTTGCGCAAAGTGCCCACACTCCCTTTCGGGGGTCCTTGAGGCCTGCCTGGTAGACAGGCGCTCACGGCTCTGGGTGGGTAGCCTTAGTGTAGGAGCTTAAAACTCTTCTTGAGAACAGGTTCTAGCAGACAGCCAGGCAGGCTTGGGGGCGGGCTGGGGGGGGGCTGGGTCATGTGTAAGAAAGACAGCCCTGCAAAAGGAGCTGGGGGAGGGAGGTTTGTGCTCTCTTCCGGGACAATCCGCCCCTGGATAGCTCACACTCACCCATCCAGATGGAACTCCTCAGCACCTAAACAGGGACGCCTGGTAGCCCAATGAGCCAGGGACAAAAGGCCTTACTAGACTTTAAAAAGATTCAATTAGCCAGGCAGCGGTGGCGCATGCCTTTAATCCCAGCCCTTGGGAGGCAGAGGCAGGCAGATCTCTGTGAGTTCGAGGTCTACAGAGCTAGTTCTAGGACAGCCAATAAAGAAATGTCTCATAAAAAGTCAAATAAGGCCAATGAAAAATTTTTTTAAATTTTAATTCTATTAGTAGACTTTCTAGTATAACTTCTATCCTTAAATGACTATTAAGTAGTTTTTGCATTCTTAGGATTAAATCTTTGATTCAGGTATGGTAGAAAAATGGTAAGTTTTGAAATTGAAAAAAAGTGGTAATTTTTCAGGTTTCAGTGTTTTGTTTTGTTTGTTTGTTTTTTAAGACAGGGTTTCTCTGGCTGTCCTGGAACTCACTCTGTAGATCAGGGTGACCTTGAACTCTGAGATTTGCCTACCTCTGCTTCTCAAGAGCTGGGACTAAAAGTCTGTGACACCACTGCCCAGTCAGTTTTCTGTGTCTTATTACACTCATTTCATAAAGAACAGTTTCTCAAGTTTCCTTCTTTTTTCTATACCCTGGTATATATATTTTCCTTGATTTGAATTTAGTAATTTAGAATTTTCTGTGAAACTAATATTTTCCCCATAGATTGGAGCAAATCTTTGAGTAATTTAAATTTCCTTTATGGAAGTTGTGTTATACATGGTTTTAAATTTTGATTTAATAATTTTTTTCTTTTTTTATTGAGAAAAGGAAAAAAAACAAGTTTCCACCTCCTCCCAGCCTCCCATTTCCCTCCCCCTCCTCCCACCCTTCTCCCTGTCCTCCCACCCTTCTCCCCCTCCCCCCACTCCTCTCCCCCTCCCTCTCCAGTCCAAAGAGCAGTCAGGGTTCCCTGCCCTGTGGTACGTCCTAGGTCCTCCCCCCTCCGTCCATGTCTAGGAAGGTGAACATCCAAACTGGCTAGGCTCCCACAAAGCCAGCACATTGAGTAGGATCAAAACCCCGTGCCATTGTCCTTGGCTTCTCATCAGCCCTCATTGTTCGCCATGTTCAGAGAGTCCGGCCCTATCCCAAGCTTTTTCAGTCACAGTCCAGCTGGCCTTGGTGAGCTCCCAATAGATCAGCTCCACTGTCTCAGTGGGTGGGTGCACCCCTCGCGGTCCCGACTTCTCTGCTCATGTTCTCCCTCCTTCTGCTCCTCATTGGGACCTTGGGGAGCTCAGTCCAGTGCTCCAGTGTGGGTCTCTGTCTCTATCTCCATCCATCACCAGATGAAGGTTCTATGGTGATATGCAAGATATTCGTCAGTATTGCTATAGGATAGGGTCATTTCAGGTTCCCTATCCTCAGCTGCCCAAGGAACTAACTGGGGACATTGCCTTGGGCTCCTGGGAGCCACTCTAGGTTCAAGTCTCTTGCCAACCCCAGGGTGGCTCCCTTAACTAAGAATTGTGCTTCCGTGCTCCCCTATCCAACCTTCCTTTATCCCAATTATCCTTTTTCCCCAAGTTCCCCCCATCCTCCCCTTCTCCCTTTTCTCTCCCTTTCTCTCCTTACGCCCATCCCACCCCACCCCCAAGATCCCAATTTTCTCCCCGGCAATTTTGTCTACTTCCCATAGCGAAGAGGATAACTATATGTTTTTCCTTGGGTTC